ATCACTAGGGGTGAAGCGCGGGGGGGGGGAGGGGCTTAGAACCAGTGTGGTAAGATGCAGGAATGTACAGACTGTGTTTACCAGATGAGACAGAATGGATAGTCGCATTAGGCGTAAAATATGTATATATATATATATATTTGATAATAAGTAGTATGTGAATGACTGGACGAAATTTCCCTGGAAGCACACGACCGGTTTCGCAGTTCTTGCCGCTCGTCAGGCATGCGTATCCGGTAATCTTTTGTCAATTCATTCATATACTTGTACCCAGGAAGAGTATTTTCGTCACAATCACCTTGTTTGCAACGCCGGGTGACCATTGGATAGACAGCTCTTTCACAGCCAGTCCAATAAAGAATCAATGCTATGATTCGATGTGTTTGTAAGTTGGTTAGATGCTACTAACCGCAACAAACGTGACCTGATGGTCTTGGTAGAATATTTGACAATAAGTAGTACGTGAATGAGCTCAGACCTAGGGACGAGAATGATTAAGAATAACATTCAACTATTTTACTCATGTTCTCCACAACTGAGGGGAGGTTTTGTTATTGAATAGTGGCTGGCAGAATTGAAGAGAATCGGAAGAAGGCGCAAGACACCTATTCTACCCAGTAGCTCTGTACATTTCTTCATACCTCGTTCCCACGTCATCTGTTGACCTCCACGTGGTTTCCGCCAGCCCGGAGCGGCTACAGCCAATATAGCACAGCGCGGCAGATGACAGCTGGGTATACGCAATACGTGCCGTAGCCAGTAAAATCTACTAATCTGAATTCGATCTTTTGGCAGGTTTATACCTGATAAACTCCCAAACACACGACGACTTACCTCCAGATTACTAACCCGTTCGCTCCAGTCCACGTGGACTAAACTATGTACACATCGATAATCGAAAACCTCTAGTCGACGGATATCTTCTACTCGAAAATTCAAGGTCTCACAACCATAAAGCAAGACTGAACGCATGCTAGTGCAATATATACGACTTTTCAAATTCAGTGAAACGTCGCATCTACGCCGAAAGGTGTTTCACACCTGCATATGTCACTCGATCATTGGAGATGTGGACGCTTATCTCCTTTGCTGCGCAACCGTTATTGGCCACGCAGCTACCTAAGTAGGAAAACTAATCCACCTTGACTAATTCCTGACCGTTCAGTTTTAGAGCGGAAGTAAGCGAAACCCAGTCCTGCAGCATCACTTTGCACTTTGAAGATGCAAAGCATATACCGAATGTGGCCACTGCACTTGTTAGTCTATCAAGTGTACTTTGCGCGTCCTCCATACATTCGAACAGACACCCCATTGTCTTTGGAGTCCTCTAAAACGAATATAGATATATGTAACACCAGTCGTCACAGATACGGCGCCCAAATAACCATAGGTTAACGAAAAAATATAGATCACACACAGGAAAGGATGCATTCACGCCACGTTACGATGTCATATCCTGCAGTGTATCCAACCAAATACAATCTGAATCTTTGGGGTCCCAGCCGCGAAACCCCAACGGAAGCCAGATCTGAGCCCCATCTCTTTAACCCTCTGTGTCACTTCCCAGTCCGTCCATCTTGCTGTTTCTTCCAACCCCGGGAACCGATGTCTGCGAATAGTGCACGATGTGGCAGACGTTGTTCATGCATTCGTAGGACGTGCCCTAGCCGACGATGCAGTGAAATTATTTGGCTCAAAGGAAAACTATCCGGTCCCAGCACCCGTCGTCTGATATCATCGTTATTCACGTGATGCTCCTACCATACACAAACGAAAATAGTTAGAAATAATTCAAAAATAGTGTAATGAGAAGGCGTACTGGCTGGGAATACGTTTATTGATTCAATTCAAAACAACCAATGTATGCGTTCAATTATATACATTCAATTTTTAACCGCGCGGTAGGATGATTCATGCCTCTTTCTGTTGGTCCATCTCTGCTGGTTTTGGTCTGCATTTGGCACGTACGTTACCTCCTGTTCTTTCGCGTGCTGTTCCGGCTGGTTTGACCCAATCGTAGCCCGAGATACGTTGATCAGCAGCTCCAACGTAGTGGCATTCGGTGTATATTTTTCTGACTAGTTGCGTATTGTCTGTCGGGCTGTAATTGTCGATTCGTTCGTTTCGGGAGGTATTCGATATT